TGAACATTTTGAGGTAGAGAATTCAGATAAACTAAACTTATTGGGAGAGACGACTTCAAATGTGATTTGCACATGGTGCACATTACAACAATAAAAAGCAATGTATGCTGTATGTCTTCTCTGTGGCCAAGTGGGAAAAGATAATTTGTAGAGTGCTTCGAGATGTTCTCCCAACATGTGAAGTATGAATTGTTGAGTAGTTTTTAATCGGGAATGGGTGGGGGGAGAAGAATGTTACTGGTCAAGCTGGGAACACTCCACCCATATATGCTATTGGTTTGTAGGTTTGTCTCGATTTGTCCTTGACTCTGCTTCCTCTCCCCCCCCTCCCACATGACAGCTGCTCATAAAAAAGTTTACCCCGAGACACAGAAATGCCTCATCTGCAGTACAAATTCAGAAAACAGCAATTGTGATTGCGATTGTTATTAGACAGGAGGCTGATTACAACCCCATTACTCAGAGTAGATGATGGGTCCGCAGCGACTCTGAAGTATGGTCTAGGGAGAGAAAAATATGAAATAATTCATACAGTAAATGGCAAGAAAGAATAACAAAAGCAACTTGCATGCATGAATAATGCATGGCAGATTAAAGAGCAGTTTTACTCTTATTTTAAATGATGTAATCTTTGAACACGAGCCAGAATATCTATCTGTTGAGTTTGCAGACGCATCTGATCATGCTGTACTGTACAAGTGCCAAATAATATGCCCAATTTAATACAGACTTTCACTTCAATCTAAGTGCTAATTTGGACCTGAAAATGTTTACTTTAACCCAAAATACAATTTTACTGATATCTGAATAAACTTGTTTTTTAAAAAGAAATCTCACACTCCAAGCTGATATTTCATTTTTTTTATGACTACTTTCACAATTTTTTTAAAAAAAACCTCACTTGACATTGAATCTCCCAGTCGATCCCTCCCTGACCACTGTTCAAAACGGACCCATCATTAAAGTAGTGAAGTGAAAAATTAGGGGTAAGAATTAAACATTGAAAATTAATCATTTAGCTTTACAAACCAACTGGATAGGAATGACTGAATCGGCTCCCCTTCCCCCACCACCCTGCCCTGCCAATTTTCTAATTCTAATTTTCACTAATTTTCGCTTCTCCCCTCCTAATGGCTTTGGACTCCTTTTCCCCTTGAATTTAGTATGTTTCCTCTGGCTCTGCTGGGCGCTTGGTATCTCGCCCAATTGTTCAGGTGTAAGCTTTGATGCTAAGTGTCACCAGGCTATTTGACTATAACAACAACTGAGGCCAATGATGTCCTTGACTGATGTCCACAAATGCACATCTCCAGGAGGCCTCACTAGATAAAGTTCATGGGGTTAGAGAGAAAATCCTGGCCAATTTTACCCTTGCAAATTCGAGGCCAATTACATTGGCTCTACTGCCTCCCTGCCTTACTGCATAAATCGGTATCAAAGGACAGGAGTCCTTGCTATTTATTGTCTGTATGCGAGGGGGCTGACAAAAGGCAGAATGCCCTTCAGCCCATTCGATTTCATCTTTCCACAATACCCGCCCTTTCATCTTCCTACCACAGCATCAAATTGTTTGTTTTAAACGAGTCCAGCATCCAGATCTCAACTACCCTTTCTCGCAACCTGTTCCAGTCCTTAATCTACTGCTAGGTAATGATATACTTCCTGGTACAAAAATAGAAGTTGCTGGAAACACTCAGCAGGTCAGGCAGCATCTATGGAGAAAGGAAATTGAGTCAATGTTTCGGGTCATTACTTTCCTTTCTCCATAGATGCTGCCTGACCTGCTGAGTATTCCCAGCAACTTCTGTTTTTGTTTCAGATTTCCAGCATCTGCAGTATTTTGCGTTTTGATTTCTAGTTCCTGGTTTCTGCCCTAAAATTACCCTTTCAGGTCTGAAACCGTGTCTTCTTGTTCTGCTATCTTGGTGCATCCAGAAGCATTGTTCTGAGTTGATTTTTTCGATTCCATTTCATATTTTATTTGCGCCAATGGGGTCCGTCCGCTCTGATTCATCTCCTTTCAAGCTTGAAACACTTAGATTATCTGAATGTTGCTCATAGTCATTCCTCCAACACTGGGGATCATCCATGTTGCTCTCCTCTGCACTACTCTGGGCAGCAACCACTCATTAGAAACAGAAGCTTTCTTACAAAAATATTTTGACATTGCTTTCAAATTGCCCCAAAAAAATGTTGCTGGTTACCAGAGCATAATGAAGTTCCCTTCTTATGATAATGTTATATTTACCCAGTAATGTGATGCATTGGTAGAAAATAAACTCAACCACATGCTCACAGCATTAGTAAATACTTGGCTACCCGATAATCAGTCATGTTAGCAATTCCCTAATGTCTCCCTATAGGACATTGCAGACACCTGTAGCCCGCAGCAACTTTACCTGGAAGTAGCTATGCAGAAATCTCATGATGTGATTGGGTATGCAAATCTGAACTATCTAATCACATATGATGTACGAAAATTCTCTGCCAGGTTAACTATTACAAGGTATTTTGAAGCAAGTAGAGTGACAACATCTCACTGATTTGGAACAGATGATCAAATGTTTACTTGGGTTTTTTGGCATATGCATATGCCAAAAAACAAAGCAACTTGAAATGTATGCTTGTATTTGAAACAACCAGTTAGGTTAGTAAAGCAAAAAACAAAACATATTATGATTCATTAGAGTAAAGATGACAAATGTGTGGAAATGTTCAAAAGTGTAGCACATTGAGTAACACACTTCAGTTTTAATGTGCCACCCTGCATTCATTAAGAGTTTCAGTATAAATCAAAAAACAATTCATTGGGAAAAATCTTTGTAATATATATTTGCAGCAACTTGAGCCCAATAGGTCCCTCAAATAGTTTTTTTTAAAAATCTGTGAACGAAAACAAAGAGCGTCATCTGAGGATTCAAACAGAGCAAACTGGGAGCTTGATTTTTACTTTGCCTCTGCCTTTAGTATTTGACAATAATACTGGTTGACTAAAGCAGAAATCTATTCCATTCCTCACCTTGAAGAAAATACAATTGCACTTACTTGTAAGTAAAATTCCAACAGCAACTGGTGAAAGATTTTGTGTCAATACAAGCAAGGTTTTCATTAAATAAAAACTCTTTGGAGTGGGGCTAAGATTAAACTGCTTTGATGTATTTAGGTGAAGGATGTCATAGCTGTCGAAAACAGGTGTCAAGGAGGATACCAAAAGAAAAGACAATTTATTTAATACAACCTTTCTTGACACACAGTTCTGACAGCTATGACAGCTTATTACTAAATCAAAAAATATACAATTTAATCTTATACCACTACATATAATGAAAGCTAAACCAGTGCTGCCAGAATCTTCTAGAGACCCGATACAGCTTATGAAATCCAACAGTAAAGTGCAATTAAAACTCTGAAAGCCATTTACAAGAAAACAAGCTAATAACTTTCAAAATGTGATTAAAGTAAACTTACTGAGAAGTACTGTATTTCTTTTGTTAAGACAACACTTAGAATCCAGAACCATTTTCTATCAAGCACATTGTTCTGACAGGAACAATAATACTTTAAGATAGCAAACTTGTTAACTGAATACCCCCCACCCAACACCCCCGCTCTGGTGACTCATTTCATTTGTGTTAAATAGCATGCATTAGCCTGTCTGAGTTTGGTGATACAATATACCAGAAAGCACCAAATTAAGTGAGAATCATATGAAAGAGTCCGCATTTCAAAAAAATCTTTCATTGGTCTTAGATTGGGAGAATTATAAACCAAAGTTATTGTATTTCCAACCTGCAAAATTCAACATCGGAAAATCAGGAATTCCAAAAAAAAGTCAAAATCTGAAGATAGGCTGGCAATTGGCTATTGTGTTTTGCTCAACGTCCTTCTTTTGTAATTTGCAAACATAAGTTCATAAATCATACCCAGATGTTCATTACGATTTTACATCTGGGGATGGGACAGTAAGGTGACAAGTGCATAACTCATCTCATGTAGATCCACCTTAGAATTGTCATACATTCTCCATCAACAATTCCTATTATCTATTTTCCTTACAACAGAAATGTAGTAGCAAATAGGATTTATACTGCATCAATTATTGGATGGGAGATTCTTTACTACTCTCTATATACTGTATTTGTTTTCCTTTCTCTCCAGAAATGTTGCCGAACATCATGAAAATCTTGTGCACCTGTTAAGTTTAAATAATGGGAAAGTATAGCTTTAACAACTATTCACGTTAAAAGCCTGTCATAAAGTTGGGTTACATTTGCTGCTCTCTTCACTTTTTCACATTCTAAATGCATCAAACATATCAATAAAACTTAGTAAAAATTCCTCCTCAAAGTGCTGATTCCTAGGATATTTTCTGTACCATTGAATTATTGTACTTGAAATTTAGATGAGCTTCAAGGCAAAATTATACTGCTTTCGTAGAATTAAGTAAGACTTTTCTGAGACAAAAAAAGTTTTTGCTTGTGTGCCTGAATAAGTTACAAAAACAAGCCCGCTGAACGATGAAAATGTATTCAACGTTTTGCATAAGTGGGATCAATTCTGTCATGAATTTGATGTCTGCCTCATTTCTGTGTTTGACGTTAAGGTTCTGTACAAAAAAAATGAGCAACACATAATTCACAGGCTGTACAGGAGACCTATCTCAAGAACCTGCACAAAAGAACGTATTGCCCAATTCATGATTACTAAGAATTAGTTACTAACTCCATTACTCAGGAGTATGCCTTGTTGGTTGAATTCATGGATTTAATTAATACCGAGTAGAAAGCTGACGAGGAACCCAAGACAGTGAGCTGAAGCATCCTGGAAGGATTCCCAGATAGCACTAAAAGATGAATAAAGTGGGATTCCACTTCACATCTACTGTTCTCAATCACTACAGTATTCTCCTTCAACAAAATGTCAGAGTAAACACTGTCATAAGAGTTTGTTCATGTACTTTTTATTATTTATCACAGGTTAAAAAATCTAAAATAATTTACCTTATTCCCGTCACTCATTATCCAACCAAAGCTTTTGACACCAAAAGCAGCAAGATTGTTGGATACATCCAAAGAGGTGACAGTATTTCCGTATACGGAGTGAAGTACTATTGACTCTGCAGTGGATTTGAGTATGTAAACAGTATCTTCTGCTGCTGCTACTAGAACTGGCTGATTTCTATCTCCGTTCAGATCACCTGGAAGAAGCTGAAGATAGCTAACCTGTAAAATACTGGCAATCAGTAGGATTCTCTCAAATTAAGAAAAATGAAGATAAACAGTTTTTAAAATTAATACCGAGTAGACATTTCTACACAGGTGTTATCTGAAGTGTTCATTTTTTTTAAAACCCATATCAGTTGGTGTATTGGGGTTTAGCATATCCTATTTGAAAAGCTGGCAAAGCTTTTCTTTTCACACTTATTTCACCCACAAAGTATACAGTCAATTCACTTTACAATATATACTGTGAAGCACTTTGAGACGCTTCAGTGATGTGATAATTATATTTCACATTGCCTTTGTTTTCTGGTTATGTATTATGGGTAAATGTCATTAGAACTCCTGGTTCTCATGCAAAACCCAACCCTATATTATTTTTGCTTAGGTAATAACAACAGGTTACATTTGTATAGTACCTTTCATGTTGGGAAGACATCCCAAAGCGCTGGATGAAACTGGTATCATATGTAAAGAATATACTTTATATACGAAGTGAGGGGGCGGGTTGGTCTTTAATTACATAAATTAACTATAATTCTTGGCACGAGACAGATGTCATGGCAACCCAGCAGGCTCAAATAAGTGACCACAGTACTGTGATTAGAGGAACAATTCACACCTGTGATATTCAGTCATTAAATGGTGGGATGAGGGAGGGAGTTATATAATTAAACAAATTACTTCACTGCTGGGCTTTGGTTCTCCTTCAAAACTTCAGTATAAATACCTCAGGGCTTACATTAACGCAGGTTTAATGCATGATTCACACTTGGTTTCTTTTAAGAACACGCCAGCTGTTTTGATTCAAATCTCCCATTTTTGGCAGCTTTATCTGACCATGGGTTTGGTACAGAACTTTGTCAGCAACCACGATATCCTCCTTCTGTGAGCCACTTTATGTTATGCTTTCTATTCTGTGCACTGGATGCTTGTGTATCAGAGTTAGGTCTGAAGCAAAGCATCAGACAGGAATTCCCATTGTAAACACCTACCCATAAACTGTTAGCAATTGCCACATGATAAGACTCGTGTGATTTGGACATCCCCATTAAATGGTGTAAACTTTACAAAACTGTGCAATAATGAATAGAGTAAGAAAAAGCATTGAGCACCAACTGAGTTACAGAAATGCATTAAAAACAGACTCACCAGTTTTTGAAGTTCAAACTGGGCTGCTGTTTGCCAGTATCCTTTTTCATTGCAAGACTCAATTCTTACTTGATAGTCAGAGGAAGTTGCTATAACAGTGCTATCTGGTGCTACACTAATAGCCTGTATCTTCTGGCTATGTTGATAATGATGCACTGGCTGGTGCCCAAGAATTGTGCTCCATACATCAACAACACCTGAAAGTAAATTAAATGTAAGAGGATATACTAGGATAATTAGAACAAATAATATAATTAATAATAATAATCCTTGCATTTGATACAACACATTTTCACATCTTCTAGATGTCTCAAAGCACTTCACAGAATAAACTGTAAAGTGAATTGATTGTATGTTTGTGGGCGAAACAAATAACCTTAAAAAAAATTAAATAACTTACGTGTTCTCAATTTACAAAGAAAAAACAAATCAATGGGAACACTAAAGTTCTGTTGAATTCTTTTATTTTTCAACACTACAAAAGTAAAAAACACAAGCGCAGTAAAATGATATATATGCAATAAAGATGCATATTGAAAACTTGTAGATATCAACAATAAGATATTTCACTATTAGACTACTGTCAAATTAGTTTGAGAAATAAAGCATATTTTATACGAATATTTGAACAATCTATCACCCTCTAATTCATAGTAAGCTCTCCAGCCCAATGATTTCTGACTGCTTTGAAAAACCTACATCGTCAATCTGCTACGAAGTGAATACGGTTTTTGAACAGAAACCCTCCATAAGCAGTTTTATTTGCAGGTCAAAAAATGAGAGGGGGGCACGGGGGGAGTGAAATCACTCAAGATAAGGATTTAAAATCGTAACTCCTAGTCAGAATTTTGTAGCTATAAAGTCATCCAACAACCAAATTGAGTCTCTAGTTGATACTCCAGTCCTGGGAGAGCATTGTATTGCCAAGGTGCTCTCCTTCAGATGAGATACCGAACCAAGATCCTGCCTGCCTGCTCAGGTGGATGGCCTTGTTATACTCTGGGAGACAAACGAGTTTCTCTTGGTCAATAATTCCCTAGATTAATTAGCCATCCATATCATTAATTAGTCATTCACCTCATGGCTGTTTGTGGAAACTTGCTGGCACTGTGTTTGCACATGAAAACAGTTACCACAACAGACAATAATTATCTGGGTGGCATTTTTGAAATGTTTCACACCATGCTATGGAAAATTAAAAAGCTCTTTCTCTCTTGCTCACTTACAAACTTTCATTGGACAATTGTACTTTAAACTAAAACTTTTTTTTGTTTCACTGGGGAAATCCCATGTTATAGATGCCTTAGATGCTAGTTTGAATGTTGTATTTAGATCAGGCAGATGTTGAAAACAATATAATAAATCAAAACAACAGCTTTCAAACCTTCTGAAAGATACTCTACATTACGATTTGATCAGAAGTCAATTCTCAAAGATAAAGAATCTACAAGTAATCAACCAATGTTGGTCAGTTCACATTAACATGGGACTAATCATAATTATTATAATACGAAGACGTAGAAACAATTCTTTAATTAAGAGCGAAGAAGGATCATGACACTCCGAAAAAGCATTCATCATTTCATGTCGTTTGCCCTACATTGATCAAAGTCGATATCTTGCACTGGGGTAATTATATTGAGTGGATTTGCCTGAACAGAATAGTCCAATCCAGACCGCCATGGGTTTTTATGTATGTGTACTCAAGGTGCTGGAACGTGGAACATTTTACCAGCTTTTCAACTAGCCAGTGTATTTCCTCGTCCTCTGGCAATGCAACACTGCTTCAACTTTAATGCTTACAAGAGCATTCCTTGCCGTTCTGGCAAGATAGCTTCAATCTCAGCAGCTGCCCCCAAACAGGCAATTTTGTCTTGTGAACTTATTGACTGGAAACCCAAACCACTGTATATTTCTGGGCTAGTTTCAAAATGAACACCAGCAATGAAAGCGTTTTTAAACACTCCGTCCTCAGTTGACACAGAGAGATACACAGGTTACTTTCAAGATCCATAAGTTCTACGAGGAAAACAATATTTTTGGTTTCGTATTATGTACCAAATTGAAGAGAGGCAGGCTTCAATTCAGTTGTTTAAAAAATTCTCATCCCTCATCAACACAAGTTTATCATCTGTACTGTCGTTCAAAATATAGAAACCTTTGATTCCTGTAGTAAATTTTGACCCAATGCAGAATGAAAGCTCTTAAATAGTCACAGGTGTTTGCAACCATGAAAACACTAGTCGAAAAAGTAAATCTATGGAAAATTAGGTGAGTGGACCTCTGTCCCACATAAGCTGCTCCTTTCCTGTAACCTGAACCATTTCTGCAACTTGCATCATTTTCAGTAGTGTATTAGAATCAGTAGGTATTATTGAAGAGACAACAGCATGTTGTTGTTATTGAAATATATTCTGGGCTGCAAACTGTTGCCTTACTAGAAAGCGCTACTATACAACAACAAAATTACATTTGTATAGCACCTTTCACGTTGGGAGAACGTCCCAAGGCACCAATGTGCTCATCCAAATAATATGTTCCAATAAATTTCAAGCTCCATTTATTTACATTTTTCAAAATGATTTTCAACAGGGTTCCTTTAGGCTCACAATTGTTAAACAAAATCATACAAAGTGATTTTTACATCTGAAATAGCACAGGAGCAGGTTTTATGCTCTCCATTAATCTCTATGGTTAAAATAATTACAGTTAATGATTTGTCCCAAAATGACAGCGTGTGAATGGATAGAAGTGAAATGATAAACTACTGTTTCTTGCGGAATTTGTCCAAAGAGTTTCACAGCTCATAAAGCAGCAACAAATTACCCTTCTATTTGCTCAGAGACCTTCCATAAATTTTGTTACTGGGTGTTTTCATGTGCCTTTAGGGTATTATCAGCAGCTACAAATTTCGCACAGATTAGGCAAGGTGTTAAAGAAGATTTGTCGCTTTAACACTGGCAAACACTCGTTTCAGCCCAGAATATGATCTGAAGCAAAGGCTCCAATGGTATCATAACTCTGTTCTTGAATAGGATTGGGTAATGAATTTTCCTTTAAACATTGATCAGTCGAACAATCAGTTTGATCATTTCAGACAGTGTTTTCTACAACCCTACACCACTCTCAGTTCCAATTTGATCCTCACAGCTAATGCGTCTGATAATCTGACGTTTCTCTGATAGCCAGACATAATCAACCCTAGCTGAGTCTCAGTTTACAACTTTCCAATCAATAATTGATGTCTATTTCATGCCATGATACAGTTGTTGAAATAAATCACCTTCTCCCCCATGCTTATGGCAGAAGATCTCTACATTCAAAGGGCTGAATCGATACAAAACACATTAATGTATTGGGGGCAGGTGAAATTCCACTGATTATATAATCAAATCATAGGAGTGAACAAAAGGAACTTGACTGACAATGCAATGACTAATGATGAAATCATTTTATTGTAACTTTATGAAGAGGCATATTAAAAAAGTACGCCAAGTAATCAACGCAGAAGATGATTACATGAATCAATTAATATAATGGACTGTCTGATGAAGAAAATAGTGTTACTCTCAGTTAACCAGCTTTACTACTTGAGTCCTGGAGACCAGATATCAAATGGTAACATTTCTATACATATTTACTGCAAAAAAGTTTTGGAATCTGTTGCTGCTGCACTATGCGGCAAAATTCCACCCCATCTAAACCTGCATGCAGGTTTTTATAATTGTATGAAGAATTAATTTGCTCATCACTCGTTTTAAAAATGGCTTCAATAATGATGCCTCTTTCATTGGCTGCAACTTGAACATTAACTTTAATGCCAAACATTCTTCCTGTTCATTGGCATTAAAGTTTCAGAGCATGGGAATGCAAAATGTGGTGCACTTAGCGGGATTTCCCAAACTGAACCCACAATATCACAGCACACTGAGAGGAAGATACCTCAAATGTTTTGGTATTGCAGGAGTTAAAATATGCTCAGGGGAAGATGGGGATACATTTAACTACAGCAAAAGACCACACATGCTACAATGGGCAATGCTACATGTGCACCAAACGTGGGTTTTATAGAGAATTAAGAGTTGTTGAGGGAAAAGAAGCATTTGGAACAAAAGAGGCGAAGTATGAGATTTTAAGTTCAGTGACAATACTGAAGTCAAGAATAGCAGCAAATCAAGGATTAACAGAGAAGTTATCACGGATAAGGTGTGGAAATTATAGATTAGTATGTAATAAGAATAATCCTTGCATTTGTTATAGCGCTTTTCACGACTCAAAGCACTTCACAGAATATACTGTAAAGTGAATTGACTATTGTAAGTGAAATGCAGCAGCCAATTCATTGTATTGCAATAAATAAATTAATTAATAAATAAATATTAATTATAATATTGCAAGAAGCATGAAGAAATAGGCTGTGAAGTATTTAAGCAAATCAAAACAAGAGTTTTACTTCCCCATCGAACTGCATGGAAGAGATCAAGATATAGTGAAGCATTCATTGTACTGAGAGAAGAATGTAGATTATATGGACTGAAGGTATGTGATCTGAAGGAAGTTAATGAATGTAGAGTGAAATCACCAGCAAAAGAGTGGATTGGGAATATTCTCTCACACAATTAAAGGATGCTTTCTAATGGTCCACAGCAATGTGATGAATTATAAAATATTATTATAAGCTTAGACTGAAAAGCAGTCATGCACTCCCCTTGAAAGTACAAGACAGAAGTCCTTAACCAGTGATCAATATACAGAGTTCATCCCCCACTGAAGTTAGCTAGGCACAGTTTTTTTTTAAATTACGTGAAAGCATCTCAAATTCTGAAAATAAATTCCAGCATTTAAAATGTTCCGCTCCATGAGCAGATTGTCCTCCGTTCCACCATCGGTGGCCGCACTTTCAGCCACTACTCCCCAAAACTCTGAAACACCCTTCCTCTAACCCTCCGTCTTGCCCCTTCCTTCTCCATCTTCAGACCGCGCCTGAAGACCTTCCTCTTTGACCATGCCTATGGTCACCTCTGCCCGGCTCAGCGTCGTGCTCTGCCACTATCAAACGCTCTGGGACTCTACCCTGCATGAGGGGCACTATATAATTGTCGTTATTGTTCTTTTTGTTGAACTGAGATGGTGTGTAGCATGCATCCAAAAATGCAGTTAGGAACAAACAGGAGAAGAAGCCTTAGTGGATAAATAC